TTCCGACCCTAGAAACTATGAAACTATGAAACTATGAGTTGGAGCCACCTTACTTTAAGGACTAATTTTGGGGTGTGGATTTTCTGTATTCTACCTAGCTTTATTCCTTCTAAAGCATTCCAACATTCCTTCTAGATTGCTGAAGATGAAGGAGATGTTTATTTCCAAATTTGGATCAGCTCCCAAGTTTTATGTTCGTGCACCAGGACGAGTCAACTTAATAGGTAAGAGGCATATTCTTCTTTTGATTTGATTTTATTTTGCATCATGGGGACATAGCAGATTAACTTTTTTGGTTTTGATTGTTCGTTTGTTCCTGGGGATTGTCAGAGAAAGAGTCAATGATTGACAAAGTCATACATGGGGAGAAGACAGAACTTTGCAACATGCTTCATGCTTGTTTTAGTGTTTTAAGTGTTTTGAATAAAGTCAGCTTACAAATTTAAGTATCTTGCCTCGTTGGATTTAGGGTGCATTTCCCAAGAGCTATTTGTAATCTGAAGTATAAGCTAAGTGGGAGATGGTGAACTCACAGAAAATAGGGTTACCATATTTCCAGTTCCAAAAAAGAGGACACCGATCATGCAGGGGGAGGGAGCAGGTATATGACTGTGGCAGGGGCAGTAGTATGCCAGTGCCCTGCACCTGTCCATTCTGTGCCCCTCACTCCAAAACCACAGCCCCCCTTTAGCCCTGCTGCTGCCCCTCACTCCTGACCCATAGATCCCACCCCTGCCAGTACCCCTTACACCCAAACTACAGAACCCTGCTGCCCTGGGCTATGCTGGAGCCCCTCACTCCCAACCACATCCCCCCCCATCCCTGCTGGTGCCCCTCACTCCTGAACAGCAACTCCCTGGTGCTGCCAGTGCCCTGCCCTGTCGTCCGTCCTTCCTCCCCCACTCCCTCTGGTGCCCCTCACTCCTGAACAGCAACTCCCTGGTGCTGCCAGTGCCCTGCCCTGTCGTCCGTCCTTCCTCCCCCACTCCCTCTGGTGCCCCTCACTCCTGAACAGCAACTCCCTGGTGCTGCCAGTGCCCTGCCCTGTCGTCCGTCCTTCCTCCCCCACTCCCTCTGGTGCCCCTCACTCCTGAACAGCAACTCCCTGGTGCTGCCAGTGCCCTGCCCTGTCGTCCGTCCTTCCTCCCCCACTCCCTCTGGTGCCCCTCACTCCCAAGCGATAGCCCCCACAGCCCTGCTGGTGCTGCTCACTCCCAAACCACAGCCCCCTGCTCCTACCAGCCCTGCCTCTGAGCACAGGCACTGGCTGCAGTGCCATTGGGTCAGCCATGCAGTTCCCTGCTTCCCCTGAAGGCCTCCCCACCCCCTTCCCCTGCTGGAGGAGAAGGTGCCTCCTCCGCTCCTTCCTAGGGCAAGCAGGGAGGTGCCAGGAAAAACTTTGAAGGTGAGCAGAGCAAAATCCTGACATTTGAGTATATTTAAATTTATTTTTAAAAACTGACCAGATGGAGATCGAAGGATTTAAAAAGAGGACATGTCTGGGAGAACGTGGGCGTATGGTAACCCTACCAGAAGATATCTGTAAGATGGGTTCATGAAATCAGTCTGTATTTTTCTCAGTACCTCAGTTTAAATCTTCAGATGCAGCATGTCTTCAGGCACCGAGTATTACACTTTGATAAAAGTGAGACGTCGTTTCCTGCAATCCCCTTTCTCTTATTCTGCAGATGTGCTACACAGTTGTGCCCAGAGTGATTAGAATAGCTAACTTCAGGTCCATTTCAGGTCTAGGGATATGGTGTAGTTATTTATTTCACATGTTTGTTTTATGACTTCCTTCTGGCATTCATCTTTTTATGATCATACCCTTTCTTAGGTAACAGATCCCCAAACAATTAAAATGTGATCCAGCTGATCAGATGACTTTCTCAGTGAAAGGAATCATTACAAATACACATTACAAATAAGTTAGTCTGTGTGCAGTCAATTGTAATTTTTCCTATGATTTTCTGTAAGATAATCAGAATGGAGAACAGATGCTAACTGAAAATTATTACTAAGAGATGGGTATGTACTGTGTCCATTTTCTTTTTAAATGTCATTTTGTATCTTGTGAATAACTGTATTAAGGATGATTAAGTATCATAATTATTATTTATTGGAAAAAGTTCAGGAATAGCTTGACAAAAAATTCCTGCATAAGCCTGATTCACTGGCTAATGAGTCATCCAAGATCAAGTGAGGAAGTCACAGGAAGAGGCATCATGCATTGCATTTTTCTGCACTGCATATTAGCTACCACTTAATGAAAATGATTTAACTTGCTTATTTTGCTAGTTTTATTAGTTACATATGAAGCTCAGTTAGTTTCCTTGTTCTAACTACTAGACAACAATCCTTTTATAAGTCTATGATTTCATGTAACTATGTTAAAGAACATAACATTTTAAAAAGTGATGTAGTAGACAATGTCCCTGGAGAAATGTTAAACTATTTTGCACTAATACAGAGTTTAAAAAGTGGAGAAGCCATCCACTAAAATTAATGAAATAAACAGAGTTGTAGTGTACATATTTTACAGTGTAGACTATTAAGAAATTTGCATTTCTGTAAAGTCTTTCTGTAAAGCATAGGCGCCAACTTTTATTTTTGGTGTCTGGGGGCTAAGATGATGGAGATATGGAAAGTTTTACACATTTTAGGTGACAGCCCCCTTCCTGAGGGGGTGGGGTGTGGGGCTGGGCTGGGCCGGGCCCTCAGGCCCCCACGTACTTGGTGCCTCTGGCATTTAGAATTGAGCTTATTTTTTCTGGTACAGCTGATTATAACAAGAATTATTAAAAAATGCTGGAATTCTGCTTATTTTTAGGAGAGCATATAGATTACTGTGGGTATGCAGTGTTGCCTATGGCTGTAGAACAAGATATACTTATAATGGTGGAACCTGTAAAAACTCAAGTTATCCAACTGGCGAATACAAACCCTTTGTACTTGTAAGTATGGTACTTGGTTTTTTTATGCTAACTTATATGATAATTGTAATATAAGTGAGATCTTGTGATCTGTAGCAGGCTAACAGTACAAAATGATATGGTTGCAGATTAAGTGTATACAATAGTATATTACCTCACTGGATGGAATATCACTGCTACTAATTATACTGTCTATACTGGCCCCAAAGGCCAGATCTACTATTTCTCTTCACCTCTTTGTTTAAGTTTCCCCTCACATACCACTTCTCTCAAGATCTCTGTGGACTTCAGAAATATTTTCACTGAAGGTTTAGCTGTTGAGAATCTGGATTTAAATTAGGCCTGTTGTCTAGTCATCAGCAGTCTCCTGAAATTCAGATGGTATGTGACCAGGGCCGTATAAACAAATGGGATATCTCTCAATTAGAAAAGTGTTTACATTCAGTTGTATCTGAAAGGGTGGCAGAAAATAAAAGCATGGTGAGACTTGACTGTCTTTGAGCCAGAGCTTGGCACATCAAATAACCTAAATGAGTTTTTGTTAAAGTAATTAAAGTTAATTAAACCTAGATATAGCTCTTGAATTAAAATTGCATGCACATTCAGTAGATTTTATAGCTTTGTTGGCTTCAATTTGGAGCCATATGGTTTAGGTCTAGAAGGTAAGCTTTCTGAATACAGCAGATAGCATCTCTGCTTTACTGAAGAAACTCTCCTGGTTATAAGTAAAGCCAAAATATATCCACATAGTTCATCAAAACGGAGTATGTCTTTCAACGCTTCTGAGGCTTTCTATATCAACAATTGCCTTTAACTTGCTTTATCTTCTTCCAATCTGTATCAGCACTAGGGCTTATGCTTGTGGTGAATGAAAAGCATGTGACCTTTGCTAACAAGGCTTTAACCACAAGCCCCAGTAGTCTTACTCCTTCCCTAGTTCATCTTTGATTTACATACTGCTGAAATCTTTCATACTGTTGCAAGCCTCTTTCACTTAGAGTTTGTTTTAACTTATGGGAAAGACATAACAGAGAACAGGTTGTAAAGAATCACCTTCTCAGATCTTAAAAACTTCTCATGTAACTAAGTGCCCTTTGATTTCAGTTGAACTAAAAGCTCATTCAAGAACTGTTCAACTTTCAGGGCCTCAAGGCTACTCCTTACTAGCCTAGTGCATTGTAGTTAAGAATGTAAGTGTAGAGACTATCTTGATAAAACACTTTGAGGAGTGTTCTGGGAAATACTTCAGAATAATAACAGCTAGCTGGTTATCTGTCTCATGGCACAGTTATGAAAGCCTTGTATTGAAGAAATCAGTCATTAGCTGACTGCTCTTAAATTTCAGGTAGCAGATTGAAACTTCAGTTGACAAACTGACAAAGTACTGTGATAATGAGCCAAATTGTCCAGAAAAACAAGGATTAAATAGCACTGAAGGCGAGAAGGAATATCAATCAGATAATCACGTCTCATAAAAACACCTCACTACCTGATACACATGCACATGAATTCTCATGTCTACCCTGCAGCAGAGGTAAAGTTTCCCATGCAGTCTCTGAAAAGGGGAAAAAAACATTCTTTGTTAGGCAATGTCTTCAAGAATTAGAGGTAAAAATTCATTTGGTCAACTTGTGCCCTCAACAGGATAGCTGATACTAACAGTTGAACATGGGCATGGATAATGTCTGAGTAGATAAGACAGCTCATTTGGGTACACCATAACAAACGTATAGAATGATTTCACTATAAGGCTTCTGTTCATTTTGTTCATCTACATGTATATGCATACGTTACTTTTCATTATAGCGTGCTGCCTCTAGTTAGGGCCTTGAAGGTACCCTGCACATAAGCGTTTTAAAGATTGCTTTTTATTCTGCGTCAGAATGGAAAATTAGACTTTTTACTTTTTTTTAAAGGTATGACAGAGAAATTAAATATTCCAGTAAACCAGTGGTTAGGGGTACCTTGGGGTGCAGAAGACTCAGGTTGAAATCTTACTCTGCCATTCTCACTTTCTGACTCACTGAATATTTAATTATTTATACAACATGGAGCAGCTCAATGAGGGGGAGAGAATGTGCAACTGAGATGAAGCTTCCAAAGTTTTTGCATGTCGCAGATGAATGCAAAGGGAATAGAGCGAGGGAAACACTGCTTTCTAGGGCACACCCCCTTGGCAATCAACAGATACTTCTTGATGATTTTGGGACATATTGATGTAGTAGGACATTCCCTCAGACGCTACCTGTTCGACTCCTGACTAAACAACCTCCTTTTTGATCTCAGTTAAATAAAAGTATTGCAGCCTCCTGGTTATGAATTTTTCTTTTTTATTTGATCTAGACTCATGACGATACTGTGGTAGATTTGGGGAGTTATCAAGAAAGTTCATGTAAGAAAATAAGGATCTGACAACAATAGAAGAAAAGTTGAGTGGGAGCAGACTGAGGTAGTTTGGCATATAGCTAGAAGGCCTAAAGAGTAATTAGGAAGGAAAGTTCAGGTTGTGAGATCGAAGAGCAGGAGAAAGAAAGGTAGCTCCAAGTAGACATAGTATAAGCATTTAAGTCCACACCTGAGAATATGTGGTGTATCAGGCTAGAAACATACATTGCCAAATGAAAAGCTTATACTAGTTTAACTATTTTGGTAAGACTATCACACCATTAGTGTAGATGGCTAAGCCAGTAAAAAAAAAATGTGTAGGCCATTTCTAAACCAGTGTAAGAAGCATAATTTGCAGCCTACGCAAGGATAATAGATTATCTGTTCCCTTAAAGCCCCTAGAAAAGATTTTGCTGTGTTAGCCAAAATGCCTCTGAGGAGTCCAGAGGCTGCACCCTATCACAGTAGATTGTACTTCAAGAACTCTAGTTTGTCATAATGCTCGAATAACCTTCATTAGCCCTTCCTGACCTCCTAAGTACTTCTTGTGCTGAGCTACCATTGCAGAACCAGCATCAGCTAGACCCAGTCATGTCCTGTTTAGTGATGCAGATTAACTCCAGTTTCTAAATGATAGCACACTTTCTTATGCATGTACTCTTTGTACAGAAAAATGCAATGTGTGGACATCATTGGGATAGGAAGCCACAATATTTACCTGGATAATTTCTGTAGCAGTATTCAGATTTAGGACATTTTAATTAAATGAGAAACAAAATATTCAAAAGATTATCTTTTATACCTTCAAAATTTATATTTGGAGGTCCAAAATACGTCAGTAGGAAAAGTTACTATTGGAATTACAATCTGTAAATAAACATGGTAAAGATTTTACCAGTCCAAAATGGAAAATTCAAATGTGCTTCAGCAAGCAGATCAAAAGTAATGAAAAAGAAAGCCTTGATCAAGGTTTGGAAGAGCAGAGAAAGCTCTAAAATGCAATTGTTATGCACATTTAAAGGGATAAGACCTTTTTTGCTAGTCTTTCACTTCCGTTAGGCCCTGTCCATGTTCAGGACAACATTTACACATCTTAAATAAGTGCTGTTTTGAATAGGAATAGGGGTGCTACTATGTTTGGGTGTCTACTACTAAGAAAAAATATTGTTAATAAGAATCAGCTTGCAGAGGAGATATTGTGCACAATCAGATATTCCTAGCAGTTTTGGACTTCACCAACAACAGAGTTAGGAAAGTACCAAGATGTTTTCAAATCTAGATTAGGCACTGTGGGCACCTATATACGTGTATGAGGCTGCTCTGGCAGGCTGTAATTACAGCACGTCACAGCAGACTCAATTAATTGAGTCACCTGGAGCATGGTAATTACGCTTTAACTACAGTCGTCACTTTAACTAAAGCTTAACCCCCGCCACCATTTTTCAGTGTGGAGACGCTGATACATGTGACACTATGGGCACTTTAATAAGAGCAGCTCTCAGAGCCGCTCTAATTAAAGTGCTACCCCCCACAACTCCCGGAGCGCGTGAATAAATGCCCTAGCTCTATCACTCCATGGTTTTTTATGGTTACTTCACAGTTGCTGGATTTGCAGAGATTGCAAGCTCTCACTGTTGGTAAATGGGAGTAGAAGACATTCAGTTAGCACTTTGCGGTTGATTTTCTTCTTACAGGATCAAGCTGTATTTATTTGTCCTAGTGACTGTCACAAGACAACTTGGAACACTTTTAAAGCCCAAATCATAGCTCTTGATGTAGGGAAAGTAATTCCTTGATTTTAAAATTTGCATTTTGCTTTCTTTAATTACTAAAAGTAGTCTTGCTACTGGTAGTGAACTGGATTGGAATTAGAATCTAAGATGGGCAGTGCCTTAGGCGAGGGACAGACATTGCACATAAACTGGTTTAAGTGATCAGAAACTGGTTTAAACCTGTAACAGAACATAAGTTCACTGCACATAAACCAGTTTCAAAATGGCCAAAACTGGTTTGAGATAAACCTGGTTGAATGTAGTATCAGACTTAACTGATTGAGCTCAAACTGGTTTATGCAACTTCTGTCCCAGACCCTGTCCTGGTTTAAGTTAAACCAGAGTCCCCCAGCATCCTGGTATGCTCTTTGAGCTGGGTGATCTGCTCCAGCAGAGCAGGGCTCGCCCTGCACCTCTACTCCCTAGCTAGAGCAGGAACAGACAGGGGTGGGGGCCTGGCCAGATGCTGGCCCCGGAAGGGAGCAGGGAAGAGGCTTATTCCCCACCCTCCCCTGTCCCACCGGTGCAGACCTGCATTTCTCTGCTGGCTGCTCCAGCAGCAGGGGCATAGCCAGCCCTGGCAGTAGCTTGGAGTGAATTGGCCAGGGAGGGGGTTTAATTCCCCACTCCATCACATCGGTACAACCTGGGCCAGGGTCCGCCTGGGGCTTCCGCCTCTCTGGTACAGTGGTGGGGTCAGGGCATGGCCAGATGCCGGCAGGCATGGCTCCTGAGCAGAAGGGGCAGGGACGGGGGTTATTACCCCCTCTACTCCCAGAGGACTGCAGCCAGGGTCTGCCTGCCCTGACTGCCACCACTGCCGCTTGCTCCCTGTATGGGCCGAGCAGTGGGATAAGCCCCAAC